TTTTCGACCTACAAAAAAATGCAGATTAGACAATTTTTTTTTATAGATATCTCCCTCCTGTGAGGTGAGTTCACTTATTTTACTAATAAGTCTTACCTAAGAAAGTACCCTCCATTGGGTTGGTTAAAGCTGACTTATGGTCTGTATGGTGTCTTTTAGCGCCATTTTCTTCCAAAGATAAGAAAGAAGCAGTTGAAAGCAGACACTGAATTGTTTTTAGAAAGCACTGGTCAGAGCCATTGATAGGGATGCACACCTGATTTGTCTAGCAGACGACAATTTTACTGTGGTTGGCATTTTCTTTGTGTAGATGCGTTTAGCAGTACTGGATATTTTGATCTTTTGATCTATCATAGACCTTGACATCTTTGAAGCCTCCTTCTCCAGTTGTAGAAATTAAAGGTTGATCAAGCTATTTAATGATACTTTCAGATGAATTTTACCTTCACACATTTTTGAGAAAGGTCAGTTTAAAGTCAATTTAGAGGCTGTTGATCGATTGTTTAGTGACGTTTTATAGGTTATTCATTCAAACGACGTTGCTATCTTATCAATGGATGATGTTATTTGTGTAACGAACCTCACTTTCAGTGTCTATGAACATTTTAAAAACAACAGTAAAATCTTTTAAATATGCTGTAATTACACATAGATAAAAACTGTGTCTGGATTGTAGAATCTGGAAGATTGAGACTAACCTTAGACAAACATTTAATTTAAATCATTTTCAAAATTCTGCAAATTCATAGAATAAAAACTAGAAAATACAGACTACCTCAGACAAACATTTAGAAATCAACATTAAAATCATTTCAATATGCCGCAAATTAATATATGATAAAAACTGTGCAAAATTGTCAAATTTGGAAGATAGAGACTAACTATAGACGAACATTTAGAAATCAACATTAAAATCATTTCTAAATTCATAAAATAAAAACTGGAAAATACAAACAACCTTTAGACAAACAACATTAAAATCATTATGCTTCAAATTATAATAAAAACTGGAAGAGAGAGACTTACAATAGACGAACTTTTAGAAAACAACATTTGTATCATTTCAATATGTTGCAAATTTATGTTATAAAGACTGGAAAATAGAAACTACCTTTAGAAAACAACATTAAAATCAATTCAAAATTCTTCTGCAAATTCACATATGATAAGAACTGTGCCTGAATTGTCAAATCTGGAAAAATGATATTTCTCCGATATTATCGTCAATTTACACCCTGACATCTTGGGACTGCATTAACTGATTTGTAGTTCTAGCGTGAAATGCACATGTCCTCAAGGGAATTAAATAACAACACAATTTAATCATAGCAACTTGTGACTGGACAATAATTCTCTTCAACAGATTGAAAATTTAATTTTTCCTTCAATTTTCCTCACATTTTGTATTCAATTGCTGTTTAAACTTCATATTCATATTTTTTATTGTTGAAAAGTTTGATATTTTCTGAGATTTTAATCTAATTTGTTTCCGTGAGTTTTCATAAAGATAGATATTAAAATTTTATTTCATCATTTGAAACTCCAAATTGATTGTTTTTTTCTTCTTTTTTTTTTCAAATAAGCTTTAAGCCTTGTAAATTAATTAAATTGATCATAGGCCTACATGACACAGTTAAAATTAACAATCTATAATTATGGATAATTCTAGAAATAGTGCCTGATATTTCAAATTTAGGGGCCCACAAAAAATTTGATATTATCATTCTTTAGTAGGCCCCATTGATTGAATCAAAAATAATGTCAAGGTGAAATAATGTTTGAAAACAAGAAAGCAAGCATGATCCCAGCCCTCTAAATTAAATGGTACCAGTAGGCCAACATGTAATTGTAATACCATATTAAAAATCAGTATGCTCTGAAAGCAATATTTAGTAAATAATATGTACTGGCAATGTTACTTTTTCCAAAGGTGTAATTCATGACATCTTAAATATCTCCTGTGCGATCATTAAATAATTTTCCTGCAACACTCTCATGAAGTATTGAATTGAATTTTCCGCTTCCATTTTGACGTTCAAAATGGAAAGACTTGTAATAAGTAAGCCCGTTATGCAGGCAATCAAATGAATGTTTACAGGCTACAGTAAAATTACAAAACGATTTTATGAAACGAAGTTTGAGTTTACATAAGAATTAGACATCTACCGATAATGAAAAATAATTCTGAAACGACGTCTATGTTATATAGGCCTATTATAGACCTCACAGATTGGCACTGACGGTATAAAATACTGAGAAGGCTTCAAGATTTCGTTTTTTAGTAAAAGTAGGGCTACCGTAAAATTTATTATAAAAGCGAAAGTAGAATCTACCGGATGTTGTTATAAAAAGTGTGTTATGTGGGCTTAAAATACACATTATCGGGTGAAAATAGATCAAATTAACATCTTAATTGGGGGATTAATTAATCAGGCAATGATAATATTATTACGTGATGAGATTAACGCATGTTACTGACAATTAAGATACAAGTGATGATAGATATTTTGTTGATTTATGGTAGAGAATTTGAACATTGAAAACGGTAGGTCCGGTGAAAATTGGATCAGGAAAAAAAACAAAAATCGGTAGAATCGGGTATCCTGCCGGTAGAGCGGTAGACAACATGCAAAAGCGGTAGAAACCCGACAACATCGGTAGATTACACATGTATGCATATATAGTCTTTTATATATTTTCTTATTTAAAGGGAACATTCCTGTTGTTAGTGACTTTTGTTCTATTAAAGGGATTGTAAAGAGTTTTTCTAAATTTTTTATGTGCATCGGGGACACTGATAGCATCAATTTGCTCCATTCCAATTTTCATTCTGACGTCTGTGGTTCCTGCAATTCCCCTAAAACTAAGTAACATCGAAAAAATAAGTTTTTGATTACGTCACTTATAGTGAAATTTGCTTGCATGGCATAAGTCCTTTTCACAATTAGTGATTGCATCAAACACTTAGTTTTAATGGAATTGCAGGAACCACAGATGTCTGCAATTCCACAAAAACAAAGTGTTTGATGATGCACTAATCAGAAAATGAAAAAGGCTCTTATTGATGTTTTAGTGGAATTGCAGGAACCACAGATATTTGAATGAAAATTAGAATGGTGCAAATTGATGTAAACAGTTTCCCCAATAACAAATTTAGAAAACCTGTTTAGATATTTTATGCATGGCAACAGTGAAAACAATACAACCTTTCATGAAGAGTTTGAATTAAAAAAAAAACTTATAACAATATTTTTTGTCTTGTGATGTCAATAAATCAATATTCAATAATTTTATTACATATGCATTAAATATTTCTATGATATCATATTATAGAGAACTTAAAGAGATTGTAAAGAGGTTTTCAATTTTTTTTTATGAGTATCTGGGACACTTATAGCATAATTCGCACCATTTTAATTTTCAGTAAGATGGCTGTGATTCCTGCAATTCCACTGAAACAGAGTGTATGATGATGTCACTAATCGCGAAGGCCGTATGTGATAAAGCATATTTTACGATTAGTGACATCATCAAACACTTAGTTTTAGTGGAATTGCAGGAACCACAGACATCTGATTGAATATTGGAATGGTGTTATTTAATGCTATTACATAAATTTTTAGAAAACCTCTTTACAATCCCTGTAATTTAATTTTAAGATATTTCTCTGTAATACAGATAGATGTATGCGTAACTATATCACACTCACCTAAATGCTTTACTAATACGTAACTTAACTTGTTTGATTAAAACTAGAAGCATGAAAATTTCCCAGAAACTTAATGCACAAACAGTACTTTAATCTCCATTTCTTGTTCACAGGTCTTAAAGCAACTTAATATCTAAATAGTAGTTGTAATTCGGTTGTAATCGGTAAACTAATCACGATAAAACACCTATTGGCGTATTGATTTGTTAGCTTGAATTAACACGGGAACTTGTTTTCTTAATGCCTTGTTCAATACTTTATTGGAAACGCTATTTCTTGTTACCATTGACACGAACAATTGTAGGATGTTGTTAGTGGTATCTTAAACAGCTCTTCAAATGATAAGAGAAGATTTGGTGGGGATCAGGGGTGAACACTGACGTTATTAAAAGGGCAAGGAATGGAGGACGAATATTCAACAGAATGAAATTTAAAGGAATCTTTTCAAACTTTCTAAGAGAATGTCGGAATTTTGATTGAACAAAGCATCTGATTGGTTGAATATTTTAATGAAGTATAGCAATTTTGTCAGATCATTGGTGGTTAAGTACAATCACCCACAGACAATAAATAGAAGTACAATCACCCACAGACAATAAACATAAATACAGTATCTGTGGATCTACATTTTATCAAAATTGATAGATATTTTAACAGTTATTTGCTTGAGGCAGAAAAACTAGGCCCTGTTTTATGGGGATTTTACACATGGCTTTAGTTGGTGTTATTATTACACTGGATATACATTAGTCTAAAACATCTACCTCTATTCCAGCCTCAAATGGATATTTTGATAGTTATTGACTGGAATCCCAAAAACTAGGCCCTCCAAAGATGTGTTTATACTATAATATTGAATTACCTTTACGACGACTGTAAATTAGTGTTGGGCATCACTAAAACTTTCATTTTGTTAGTATCGCCTGACTCAGTGACCTTGCACTTTTGGCCGTGCACGCAGTTGTGAATGGCCGATGAGAGGTCATTTTTGATAAAAAAAAAACTTAGGGAGATTAGGATGGTATGACTGAACTACAAAAATATCCATCATGGGTTTGGCAGATCTGATTTAAATGGATAGGTTTTAAAAAACCTGTACCTTTGGAGGTACAGAAAAGCCTCATAAAACAGTTCCTTGTTTTTCTGTCTTTAGACCAGGTGAAAAAACTTGGAAAATAGCTATCAAAAGCTAGAACAGAAGCAGATAATTTGGTCTACCTCCTTTTTATCTAGGAAGCTATACCTCTGATATAAGCCTCTTTATTAAAAGTTATAAAAAATTATCTTTCAGAACCAAGTAGAAGTAAAGAAGAATGATAATAAATATGTGGTACTAACTTTTATATTGGTTGGATGTATTGCTGGTATACTACTGGCCGTGGTAGTCATCTACCTAATCAAACGGCAATCTCGATCCAAGGAAAAACTTGCTGAGTTGGCAGATAATGTGGAGGGCAATGAAGCCTCTAAAGACTATCAGGTAAGAGTTTATTTTGCATTTTTCAATTTGCACCATTCTAATTTTCAATCAGTTTCCCTGATACACATAAAAAAATTTAATAATCTCTTAACAAGCTCTTTAATACTTTAGTAGTAATCATAAGATTTAGTACCTCAATTTGGGTTTTGTCTAGTGGTTCTAATTGTTAGTACTTAGTTTATTTATTTCAATTCATGTGCTCTATGATTTATTTCAGGATCTCTGCCGCCAACGCATGCAGAGCAAGACATCTGATAAACCTGAACCCCTGCACGCTGCTGGTCGTATTGGCAGCGTCTCTGACAATGTCCGTAGTCCTTCGAGTCGTAGCAGCACCTCCTCATGGTAAGTTATATTTTGCAAAGCTTTGACATTTCTGGGTAAAATTTGGACATTTTCGCGTTTATCTTTTTATGAGGAAAAGGATTATGGATTAAAATATTCAAAATTCAAAACTGAGATATAAGAGTCAGAATTCAAACAACATGTAAATCATAAAGTGACTGGCAAATATGATAATTTTCACATCTCTGAGAAAAATAAGTAATTTTTGTGTCAATTCTTTTTCTATTGCGGAATTATAATACTATTTCATTTGACTTATTGACTGGCAAAAATCACATCCCTGGAAAAATGTAGTCATAACATCCCTGGAAAATTGAGTCATTTCGGTCTGACTGGTAAAAATGTAGTCATAAAATCCCTGGAAAATTAAGTCATTTTGGTCTGACTGGTAAAAATGTAGGCATCAAATCCCTGGAAAATTAAGTCATTTCGGTCTGACTAGTAAAAATGTAGGCATCAAATCCCTGGAAAATTAAGTCATTTCGGTCTGACTGGTAAAAATGTAGGCATCAAATCCCTCGAAAATTAAGTCATTTCGGTCTGACTGGTAAAAATGTAGGCATTAAATCCCTGGAAAATTAAGTCATTTCGGTCTGACTGGTAAAAACGTAGGCATCACATCCCTGGCAAATACAAGACCTATTTGCATAAATCTATTTGAAGTAAGAGTAAGAATTCGGTTTTAATAAACACTATCTATTTAGTAGTTTGTCAGAAAGGGAAATTTTTTTATCAGTTAGAAAAGATCTGAGACAGAAGCGTGTGAGGTGAAACAATCCAGGAATTAATTTACAAGATTTGACATGACGGAAATTGGTCAGGCAAAGAAATAATCCCTTTCAAACAATTGAATACCACAATCACAGGGAATTCCATTTCATTTTCTAAGCTTAATCGGAAAAGCTGGAATATGTCTTTATTCTCAAATGAATGTGTCAACTTTTGTTTGATGCATTAGATAGAAAGGTCAAATTGAATTGAATCGCAGGATTCTGATTTATTTTTTTTATTTTTTTTTTGCCAGTCGTGTCTGTTTGGTCACGGTTTTTCAGGGACAGATGCACCATCAATTGTACCTTAGTCTCAGAAACAGAATTATTTGTTAGTTAAGTTAATCAGAAATAGCTCATCGTTGAAATTTGAGTCTTCAAATCCATGTGTGTCCAGAATTATCTGCGTTTTAAAGTTAAAAAGACGACTCATCTTTTGTTGAGACACTGTCATATATAGAAAAGACATCTATAGAAATAGAGAGAAATTCGTAGTTTGATTATGTGATTTTTGTACATTTCTAGTACTGAAGACTATATACATACATTCAAGACTAAAATCATCCCACCTAAATGGTGCATCTGTCCCCTTAATTTTCATGCTCATTATTGGGATTTGAATTTTAGAAGCTATTTCAATATTTCTACCTCATATTTATAAATGAACAGAAATTCGTTGTTTTTCACCTCCATTTTGTCTGAAATATAAAAAAGGCAATTTTCAGCATATTACAGTTTTGTAGCAATTTTACAACAAAATTTCATTTGTTCTAATTAAATTCCTGCGACAAATTCTCAGAGGAATTCCACTACTCATTTAATTTGACATTTTCTGTCATCTTTTGGAAAATTCGAATGAAAATTTAACGATGAAATCATTTGATCACTTAGTCTGCTATTTGTATCTAGGGATAGGCGGCCATATTGGTTTGTTGAGCTCTTCCATATTGAAGGTATAGAAATGATGGAATCACATGACTTTATAATGTTAACACTTGTGTCTGGAATGGGAGATTAGCTTGGCTTTGACGATCAATCCTGTAATAAAAGATAGTCTCGCAGACAAAAATGTAGTTTTCATAGATAGAATAATAGGTTTCTTGTGAAAATATGGCCTATTAAGATAAGCTAGAAAGAATGGTTTTGTGTTGATTTTGGCTGTGTTAGAAACTAGGTAGAAATAACAATGGCTTTACACGCAATAAGTATAATGAAAGCTTTAGTATGAGTTCCCAATAATATATTAGACTGGTAATTTGATTGTATGTGCCAGTCTTGTCTGGCTGTTACAAGAAAAGGGTGCTAGAAAAACACGGTCAATTGAACGCTTGCTGGCTAACCTGGGTGCCAAAGTTTACTTTGAGGCTCCCTAGGAGTGATGCAGGTCTAAGGGGCGGGGGATGGGGCCGAATTGCCGGACCAGGGACGAAATCAGAGGCGATGTGATCTACGACTGAAATTTATGTCATTCACCTCCATTCATGTAGAGTATGATTTTATCCATTCATGGTTAAACATTTTTTGAGAGAAATATTGTTCAAATTGACTGATTTATTTTGGGGAGGAATAAATTTGGAAGAACTCTTTTTTCACTGAGATTGAGAAGCACTGTGCTATTGGCTGTGAACATTAAAGAACCTTGACAGCTGTTAATGTGAAAAAAATGCAGGTTAATTCTGCTCACTTCATGGCATTGCCTGTCATCTTCAGCCTATCCTAAAACAGAAAAACAGGACGTAAAACTCTATTCATTTCATTTTTTTGACAGTTGGAAATGTGAGAAAAGAGCAAGTTAATGCTGCTATCTTAACAAAATTGACTAAACCTCATTGCACAGTGCATGGCATTGCCTGTTCTGAAACAGAAAAATAGGCTAAAGAACTGATTTCATTTCTGTTTTAAGAATTCATGAATTTGAATGATACATATAATTTAAACTTGAAACTGATGACTCATCAATTCCTTCAGGTTTTACGTCCAATTCTGTCTCAACTGGCGGTCGGAAATTAAATTATTCTAGGAATATTTTCTGAATAAGTGTAAAATTATCCGTATTCAATTGAAATTCAGTCAATTTTTCATCTGAGGCAAAAGTCACATATGATATCTCAATAGAATATCATTTTGAGAAATAATTTATACCAAATCTTAAAGTGCAATTGATATGAGGTGCTTAAAGGAACAGGTTCGCGATAATTTTGACCAATCATAGCTTAGACTCAGAAACGGGAGTTATTTAGCTAAGTTAATCAGTAATATTGTTAAAATTTGAGCCTTCATAATCCATGTGTGTCTAGAATTATCTGCATTTGAATGTTAAAAAAGAGGACTGGTCTTTTCTTGAGACCCTTCCATATAAAGAAAAGACATATATAGAAATAGAAATTATAAATGTCTGCTCTTGCAGTGGCTCAACAAGATGATGAGCCACTGTGCTCTTAATACTAGCAATGGGTATCGGCAATCATGCAACGATACAATAAGCATCGCGATACAAGGGTCACGATACGATACATATCGTGATGTGAGATATTGGGATAAAAAATAAAAATTTATTTGCAAAGTTTATATATATATTAATTTATCACTTTATAACTGTGATATTTGGTAATATAGTTGATAGAAGTGGTTAGCGTCCACTGTCTTATAAATAGTTTCTATATATATTAATTTATAACTTTATAACTGTGATATTTGGTTATATATTTGATAGAAGTGGTTAGTGTCCACTGTCTTATAAATAGTTTCTATATATATTAATTTATAACTTTATAACTGTGATATTTGATAATATAGTTGATAGAAGTAGTTAGTGTCCATTGTCTTATAAATAGTTTCTATATATATTAATTTATAACTTTATAACTGTGATATTTGGTAATATAGTTGATAGAAGTGGTTAGTGTCCATTGTCTTATAAATAGTTTCTATATATATTAATTTATAACTTTATAACTGTGATATTTGGTAATATAGTTGATAGAAGTGGTTACCGCCCATTGTCTTATAAATAGTTTCTATATATATTAATTTATAACTTTATAACTGTGATATTTGGTTATATAGTTGATAGAAGTGGTTAGTGTCCACTGTCTTATAAATAGTTTCTAACAATTTCAGTGAAAACAATTGTTAAATCATAAACCAACTTAAAAAAATCTTTTGTGTAATTAAACATATCGCCAAGTATCGATACAAAACATGGCTATATGATACGTGTATAGTGCCATGTCGTATCGCGATACATCGATTCACTAATACTATTTAATACTATTGTATGAGATATCAGCTTGAAACTTGAATCTTGAGAAAGATAGCGTGTTCAATGTATTTATGGAGTAAACTGTTAACAATATGTTCAGTCAACCAGTAAAATAATTGTTACTTTACCAATATAAAAACCTTATTAGCTAAGCTATTGATTTCAAATATAATTGGTGGTCTAAAATTAATTTTGTCTTTTTTAATCATTTCTTTCGCTTTGAAAATGCATTATAATCCAAAAATGTTTTCGAAGATTTAGAAATGTTTACACTTATAGAATTTTAATAATGAATTGGAATGAATGGAGTTATATATCCTACTCTTCTGTATTTAAATAATTGGACTAATGAAGACGGGCAACGCCATGCAGTACGCAACGAGGGAAATTTCGCCAGGATAGGAAGCCATCTTTGTTTAGTGGTAGTTTGGTTAATGGTTGTTTGTTTAGTGGTTGTTTGGTTAGTGGTTATTTGTTTAGTGGTTGTTTGGTTAGTGGTTGTTTGTTTAGTGGTTATTTGTTTAGTGGTTGTTTGGTTAGTGGTTATTTGATTAGTGGTTATTTATTTAGTGGTTGTTTGGTTAGTGGTTGTTTGTTTAGTGGTTGTTTGTTTAGTGGTTATTTGGTTAGTGGTTATTTGGTTAGTGGTTGTTTGGTTAGTGGTTGTTTGGTTAGTGGTTGTTTGTTTAGTGGTTGTTTGTTTAGTGGTTATTTGGTTAGTGGTTGTTTAGTGCTTCAGTTATTGATATCAATTATAATTGTTTGACTAAAATTGTGAACTATAACAGCACAAGAAACTGAAAATTTTTGAATTGTGAACAGGGCCTAGTTTTTCTTCATAAAGGTTAGAAATGTGTCGTTCAACTCATCCTAATAAATAAACCAAGTACTAACCATCCGAACTGCTAAACAAAACCTGAAATCCAAACAACTAAATAACGAGAATCATCTCTTCCACTTTTCTGAAAAGAGGTCAAAGGTTAATGAAACTTCTCGTAATAAGAAGAACAATTCGTCAATTTGTTTCTGTGTTTTTTATGATAGCATGTTCATGATAATACAAATACTAGAAAATGAAATCTGTCAATATCTCATATTGAATTAACGATAAAACAGCACTTTAGGGCTGAATGATTGTCATACCTCGATCAATGAAACTGAGTTGTTTTTTTAACATGTTGATCAATTGAGAATTAATGTTATTCTGGCAAAGCTGTTGGGAGCATTCTGGCAACAGTGGATATTAATTACAGATTTACCTAAGTCTGTTGGAATTTAAACAGGAATTGAATTAAGTGTATAAGCAAGATGCAGAAGGCACTTTTATTTAGCAAATTTTGACAATTCTAAGTAAACTTATTTTTTAAAGTTATTTTAAAAAGGTTTTCTAAATTTTGTATGTGTATCGGGGACACTGATAGCATCAATTTGCAACATTCTAATTTTCAATCTGACGTCTGTGATTCCTGCAATTCCACTAAAACTAAATGTTTGATGACGTCGCTAATCGTCTATTAAGAGTCTGATGTCATAAAACATATTTTGCAATTAGTGATGTCAAACACTTTGTTTTAGTGAAATTGCAGGAACCACAGATGTGGGATTTACAATTGGTACGGTGTAAATTGATGCTATGCTTCTTTACAATTCCTTTAACCAAAATATTTCACATGTGACCTCTGACCTTATTCCACCCTTCCTCCCTGTCAACCTTGAAAACAGAAAAGTGGAGAATTGATTGATAGAATATAGGAAATGGAAGACAGTGGTCCAATAAAAATACAGTTATCACTTGAAACCTGTTGATTTATTCTGTGTTTATTGCTGAATTTATGACTTGTCGCTATTCTTATTCATGAATTTCAACACTTCAGCCGCCATTTTCTCTCACTCATATTAGTTAAAAATAATACCAGTTCTATATTATCCATCTTTAACTTGGTTTACACGAAAATTTCATAGAAATATTAAAACAGAACTTGAACTTGTTACTCAGAGTTTCACGCTATGTGATCTTCAGACAACTGACCTATTTTCAGCCTGCATCTCTTCTGAAGTTGGACCAGTAGAACTTTTTCTCATGTCAACACTTCAAGACAAGAACTCAGTGGCAGCACCAGCCTTCTGAGACTGGGTTACAAATAGGGGGCAGTCTGACTCAATGGGGGGACAACTGCTGAGGCTGAATTCAAATTTTAGCTACTCTGTGGAGGTGTTATAGTCGCAAGCCTCTCATAGAGCGTCTTAAGAGGGTTCTCTCAAGAAAATTTTAGAAAAAATGAATTGATTATAAGTATGACTTTTGGTTTTAGGATTATTTCAAACTTTCTGGGTTGGGGATAAATCTCTTTACAATGTTCTTTCTCTCAGGTACAGTTGTTTTGTATATGATTGACTGGTGTTAATTCTGTATTTGTTACCTCTGGGAAATATTGAAGATACGACTTCCAAGATTGTAAATAGTATTTGTGACTTCAAATTGTGCTCAGAAGTCACCTTTTCTACTGGAGAAGTTTTCTTGAAACACTGCCATATATATAAATAGAGTAAAATTCCTAGTTTGAGATATTTTTAAAGGAATTGTGCGATTTTCGTAATTTCTAGTACTTCTGAAGACTATTTATATTTATACCAGAAATTGGCTCAATTTACACTGAACCACTGTCAAAATTTTTATGGTTCTATTTTTGTTTCCAGGAGTGAAGAGCCTGTACAATCCAATATGGACATCTCAACTGGACACATTGTCTTGGTAAGTTTCACAAGTTCTTTATGTCATTTTTATATGCCCACTTGAAGCCTATATGTTCGACCGCCCGTCCACAACTGCTCGTAAACACTCTAGAAGTCACAATTCTTGACAGATTTTGACGTTACTTGGTGTAAGTGTTTGTAATCACCTAAGGAAGATCCCTATTGAAAGTCAGAAAAATCAACAAATATGTTATATCAGTTATTGTCCTTGTTCTTAAAAACATGTTCTAGTTTTAGCCAATAAACACTCAAGAAGGCTCAATTTGACGAAATTGCCTCATAAAGTTCAAAGGAAGTTTATGTCTGAAGGTTGAATATTTCGTACTGGTAATTGTTACTGTACTGCTAAATTTTTTTATTCAAAATCAAAGCTGCCAGTGGGTGTTTATTACCTTGCCTGACAAGCTATCTTCCACACTGTAGGTATCTATTGAAACTTTACGCAGATACTATGTCTATTTCCTTGACCAAATTTGATTTTCTGAAAGAATTGTAGGAACTCTTCATTATTGATGACTGTGAAGGTAAGAATGTCGATTGTCTATAATATTGGTAATGTCATTATTGGCCAATCGTGTTTCCTATTATTTCTACACTGTCTTCTCCGAGAAATATGTCAGCATTCTGTCAATGTATTGACTCAGGAGCAGATTCAACAGACTAGCAGGAATTTACTGTACGATCATCACAAGCCTCTTGAGGGTTCTGGAGGGTTCCCTCAAGAAAATTTTATAAAAACTTTAATTGATTTGGTGCATTCTGACACATATTTTGGGGCAAAAACGAATAAAAATCCTATTTTAAATTTAAGAATGCCCCCCTCTTTGTACTTACACTGGTGCTGCTACTGCCACTGATTCACAAAATGTCTTGTCTGAAAAATAGATTTGGAAAGAAATAGAATTTCCTGTAAGGATTTCTCAGAAAAAACAAAGAAAAAGCAGTTGTCTAATGCTGATTGATTTTAAATAATTCTCCATAGAAAAACTATGGCTGTATCTCTTCTTCTATAGTGTAAATCAAAATACACCTGCTCTTTAGATGAGTTCTTATCGCTTGACGAGGTCACATGATAAGATTTAAGCCAATCAATGATTGGTAAATAATGGATGAAGGCTAATTCTGATTACAACTAACCCTTAGGTTGGCAACATGGCAGCCATTTTGATAAAGGATTGATTTGGTATTGATAAGATTATCTTTTACCAATATTGTCAGTTTCTTGAAGATTCTATCTCCATGACGATCTATAGACTGGATAATTGAGACAATTCTGAATTAATATTCATGATATTGGATTATCTCTCTTGAATTGATTAATTAGGTAATTATAGCTGGGTCATAATTAAATTAGATAGGTCGTGACCTTAGCACAATATTGACTTTATGTTAAGAGAGTAGCTTAAGATTTATGACTTCCACACATAAGATTTTGGAAATTTTGAAAATTTTCTTCCACCATTGATGTTTGAAAGTCATGAAATCTTTTAGAACTTAATTAAAAACAATTAATTTTAATTTTGTAAAGGATAAAATTTTTTTTTGAAAATCACACGACAAAACCATTAACATTTGTCACAAGCAGTAGACCTATTGAATTTGGTGTCAACACTACAACACTAACACCAAAGCGATTTGGCGGAAAACTAAAATATTTTCATTTTCATTAAATCTCATTTTTGGAAAAAAAATTCTCAAAAGAATTAAGAAATCACATTGCCATAAATTTTATTATGATGTTATAGAAGATATCAGCTTAGCTGTAATATGCTAAAAATAGGACACATGCATGACTTGAGTAGGACAATTGGTAGGACAAACAACTCTTACCACTCTTAAAGTTGTACATCATGTGATACAAAAACCACCTCTATGACATCAAAAGGTCCAGGGTTCAATCCTGGCTTCAATCCCAACATAGGTTGAAATAATACCTTAAGATTTTTCAACCCGGTTTCCCACTGTCAGTGATGTAGGTACGAGGGGCTGACATGGAAAAAGCGTCCAGTTCAGATAGGACAATAAACCGAGGCCCTGTGAGCTACAGGCTGTGCACGTTAAAGATCCTCAACAGTTGGAAATTGGCTAATGCCGCTATCTTGGCAAAATTTGCCTCATTGCACCTTGCATGGCGTTGCCTGTCTTCATTAGCCCACATGTTACAGAAAAGTAGGATGTACAACTCCATTCATTTCATTTTATTTTCTCCTAATTGCTGATGCCCTGACATTGTAAATAAAAAGAATTTGTAAATTTGACGTTATGATATGTCATAGTGTTAACAACTTATTCTAGACCATAAAAGATTTATAGCTTTAATGTTATTGTCATCGCATCCTGTCGTGAGACAGTGTTTATTCCGTTAACGCTGTTCTAACGAGCCAGGTCATTGATTGGATATCAAAAATCAATGATGTCATAGTTCCATTTCCACCAGCCTTATCTAAATTCCAAATCTTTCAATATTACAAGATTATAATTAGAATAATTGTTAAGGTGTTTTTCTTCTTCTCCAATGAGACTGTAATCTCTTGACTCATCATTCATTCATTCATTCATCCATTTATTTGTCCATTATTCATTAATTTGTTCATTCGTTTGTCCATTTATCATTCTTCCATTTATTCATTTATCATATTTCTACCATTCATTCATTCATCCATCATATTTCTATCATTCATTCATTCATCCATCATATTTCTATCATTCATCCCTCATATTTATCATTCATTCATTCATCCATCATTTCTATCATTCATTCATTCATCCATCATATTTCTATCATTCATTCATTCATCCATCATATTTCTATCATTCATTCATTACATTTCTATCATTTATTCATTATATTTCTATCATTCATTCATTCATCATATTTCTATCATTCATTCATTATATTTCTATCATTCCTCCATTCATTCATTTATCATATTTCTACCATTCATTCATTCATCCATCATATTTCTATCATTCATTCATTCATCCATCATATTTCTATCATTCATTCATTCATCCATCATATTTCTATCATTCATTCATTCATCCATCATATTTCTATCATTCATTCATTCATCCATCATATTTCTATCATTCATTCATTATATTTCTATCATTTATTCATCATATTTCTATCATTCATTCATTCATCATATTGCTCTCATTCATTCATTCATTATACATAGTCAGCCATTTATTATTATGTATTTGATTCTCACAATTTATTCATTTCTTTTCCAGTGATTCATTCATTACTTATTCTACTCTCATTCATTCTTTCATTCATTCTACCAGCCATTGATTCATTCATTTCACACCAATGATGAGAATTCTAAATGTTTAATTCATTCTATTGATTATATAATGTACAGGAAGATAATAGACCTGCTGGGTGATTTTTTAACTGTGTGTTAATTTCAGTAATGTGTAATAAAAGATATTACTTCATTCATTTACTCATTCATTTATTCATTCATTTACTCTTTCATTTATTCATTCATTTATTCATTCATTTACTCTTTCATTTATTCATTCATTTATTCATTCATTTATTCATTCATGTATTTATTCATTCATTTACTCTTTCATTTACTCTTTCATTTATTCATTCATTTATTCATTCATGTATTTATTCATTCATTTACTCATTCATTTACTCTTTCATTTATTCATTCATTTACTCTTTCATTTATTCATTCATTTATTCATTCATTTATTCATTCATGTATTTATTCATTCATTTACTCTTTCATTTACTCATTCATTTACTCTTTCATTTACTCATTCATTTACTCTTTCATTTATTCATTCATTTACTCTTTCATTTATTCATTCATTTACTCTTTCATTTATTCATTCATGTATTTATTCATTCATTTATTCATTTACTTATTTCAAAATGTTTATCTTTGTCAAAAAAAGGATTGTGTTCCAAACCTGAAATTCAAACAATTTTCATTCATTCATTTATTTATTGTGTTACAGTCTTTCTTTCCCATTTTTTCTTTCATTCATTCATTCATTGTGTTATAGTCTTTCTTTCCCATTTTTTTCTCTCATTCATTCATTCATTCATTCATTGTGTTATAGTCTTTCTTTCCCTTTTTTTTTCTCTCATTCATTCATTCATTCATTCATTCATTGTGTTATAGTCTTTCTTTCCCATTTTTTCTATTCATTCAACTAACAGAGTTAAATGTTTGATTGCGTGATGATTTTGCTAGCATGTTTTGTTAAAGCATGGTATCGTATAACATTACAATGATTTACTAACTGTAAGGTTTACAATGATTTACTAACTGTAAGGTTTACAATGATTTACTAACTGTAAGGTGTACAATGATTTACTAACTGTAAGGTTTACAATGATTTACTAACTGTTAGGTTTACAATGATTTACTAACTGTAAGGTGTACAATGATTTACTAACTGTTAGGTGTACAATGATTTACTAACTGTTAGGTGTACAATGATTTACTAACTGTAAGATGTACAATGATTTACTAACTGTTAGGTGTACAATGATTTACTATGATGATTTGGATGATGATGCTCTGTCTTGCAGATTATAAAATAATCTTGTTTGATATTATGAATTCTCTCGGCAACGATTTTATATTGTCATGGAAGAGCGGGCACATTTACTCAAGATGTGAGTCGGCAACAACGACTGTTCATGTGCCCACAGTTCAGTTGCAAATTTGGACAGCTTATACCAAAGATATTTTGTCAAAAGTTTCCATGAATTTCATTACAAATGAAACAAATTTTGTTCACTGGTTAGATCCCCCACTTTCTTTTTTCAGTCTTACATGGAAGATCACCTGAATAACCAAGACCGTCTGGATCAAGAATGGGAAGCCTTGAGTCAGTATGAGGCTGAACCCAGCTCCACCAAGATTGCTACCGATGCTTCTAACATGCGTAAAAATCGCTATGGAGACGTCCTGCCCTGTAAGTACATTTATTTTCTTAAAGTGACAGGTTCACCATTTTTATACGCCCACACGCAAGATGGGCGTATATTGTAATCACCCCGTCGGTCCGTCCGTCCATTCACATTTGGCTCGTGCTCACTCTACAGGCTACAGTTCTTTATGGATTCTTTTGATTTTTATTTTGTATGTCAATGTTGTTATGAAGATGATCCCTATTGATTTTCGTGATGACCGGATAATTTTTCACCAAAATATCGTGTCTGACTTGACGTTTTTTTTCTATTAGCTATATTGTGCAACTCGTGCTCACTCTACAGGCTACAATTTTTTACAGATTCTTTTGATTTTTATACGCCCACATGAAATGGGCGGCGTATATTGCCATCACACATGTCCGTCCGTCGATCCGTCCGTCCACAATTGCTCGTAAACACTCTACAAGACACAATTCTTGACGGATTTTGACAAAACTTGATATGAGTATTCGTAATCACCCAAGGATGAATCCTATTGAAAATCAGAAAAATCGAAAAATATTAAGTATGAGTTATTGCCCTTGTTCTTGAAAACGCGTTCAATTTTTAGCTCGTAAACACTCTAGAAGGCACAATTCTTGACGAAACTTGGTGTGAGTGTTCGTAATCACCCAAGGATGAACCCTATTAAAATCAGAAGTATCGAAAAAATGATTATTATGAGTTATTGCCCTTGTTCAATTTTTAGCTTGTAAACCCTCTAGAAGGGACAATTCTTGACAGATTTTGATGAAACTTGATGCGAATGTTCGTTATCACCCAAGGATGAACCCTATTGAAAATCAGAAGAATTAAAAAATATTTAGTATGAATTATTGCCCTTATTCTGGAAAACGCTTTCAAATTTAGCTCTGAAACACTAAAAGGCATAATTCTTACTGGATTTTTGTCTTCTAGAGTTTTCACGATCAATATTATCGCACTAAAGAGTTCAAAAGAAGTGTATGACTGAAGGTTGAATATTTCATACTGGTGATTGTTACTGTACTGCTAAATATTTTTATTCAAAATCAAAGCTGCCAGTGGGCGTATATAACCTTGCCTGGCAAGCTATCTTCTTAGGTTGATTTTGTTCTTGGATATAATATGTAAATAGTCTTCTGAAGTACTAGAAATGAATGGAATTCGCATAATTCCTTCAAAAATATCTCATACTAGGAATTTTACTTTCTGTTTCTGTTAAATATCACAGAGAATCAAGGAATGACGTCTCCTCTTTCAAACGCAGATCTGGACACACATGGGTTTGAAGGCTCAAATTTAGACGTTGAGCTGTGAACACTTTTACCGATTGGAAACTGGGCCAGCTCTCAAAAGTACTGGCAAAGGCATATAATTTACTATGAATGGAATTCGAGCACGATTCAGTGAAAAAATACTCTAACCGATCGTGCTATTTAACTTACAAGTCATAAAACGTGATTTGCCCATAGTTTCGAATTTTGTAAAAGAAAAAGGCTGTTGAACCATCATTATAAGCTTATTAAGCTAATCTTCTATTGGTTAATTATTTCACTAACGCTGATCATATGACAAGGCTTCCAGAATTCATGATCCTCTCAAATTTAATCATGAGAATTTTTAATCATGAGTTTTTAAATATTCAAATTTCAATTCAAATGTAATTTTAACACAAAATTCAATTGGATATTTCAATTGAAATCTTTCATATCAGTAAGAAATTCTATTCCATTCAAATTTACAATCAGCTGTCCGTGGTTCCTGCAATTCCACTAAGCTTGATGTTTCATGACATCCCAAATTACAAAATATGCTTACCCTTCGCGATTTGTGATGTCTTCAAAAACTTAGTTTTAGGATAAATTAATCAAGTATCAACAATCCCAACCAATAAACAAAAACCCAAAATCCAAAACAACATTTTGGCGAAACATTTCACATGAAGTATATCAATGATAAGTGACTAAGTATTTCATAATGAAAAGGTGTATCAGGTGTCTAGAAGAGTAAGCATACCCTGCCAGGACCCACAGACGTCTGATTGAAAATTGGAATGATGCAAATTGATATCAGTGTGCCCAATTACACATACAACATTGAGAAAAACTCTTTACAATCCCTTGAAATGGCTTCTTCAATGTTGGAGGATGAAATGTCATCTTATTGAAAGGGCAGGCATGGTCTAAGGTCTATGCCATCTTCAGGAACAATGTAACAAAAGGGCAAATTGAACCAGCCAAGCAAATGAAATTTTGGTATGGAAAAAAAATTCAAATTAAGTAGTTGTCAACCCTGAGGCCAAAAGGTTTAAAAGGGCAAATTGAACCAGCCTTTAATATGAAATATGATGCCACCATTAAATTGTCAGCCAGTGTAATATCCTTCAAGCCACCATCTTAAAGCTTTCAATTAAGTAGAGTTGAGGCCAAGAAACGTGTCCGTCAGAAAATAACAAATTGGTTTTTAAGCCAAGCGTAAGATTTTGTTAGCTTTAGTCTCTTCTGTGATTCAAATGTTGTAATGGTTGAAGACTTTTAAGTTAGACTTAGATATTCATGATGTGTTTCTTTTGGTGAGATTGCATTTTCTTTAATCTTTTGACAAGCCAAGCTCCCAGTTAAGGAGCAGTTCTTGGTTTATTTTTTAAGAAAAGTGGCTTGGCTTACTCATCTAGACACCTGATACCACTTTGCATTATGAAATACCTACACATTTTTAATTGATATACTTCCTCATGCGAATAGTTCATTAGCTGCTACTAATGTTTCTCCAATATGTTGTTTGGATTTTGGGTTTCATTTTACGGTTCAGATTGTTAGTAGGCCTATTTGATTTATTTAATGAGAAGTTTTGAAAATTTAAAGAAATTTGGCCTTTTATCCACTATCTACAAGTTATTAGATAATGACACAGCAATTTTGATACAAAATACACTTTGCATGCGTCAACTATCATGATTTTCATGATGATAAATTTTGCTGTCTGATGACAAAGTAATCCTTTTTACACAGATGTTCGCGTCAGTGTGCAGACGGTTAATTAACGTAAGTGCAATTTAAAATTCTCTACTGACTGATTAAAATGACTACTCTTGGAATTTTCCACGCTGCGTGACATAGGTTTAGTTTTACTTTCCTATTACATTACATACTGTGATGAACAATAATGACGTTGATGTGAAAGATGTCTTCACTCTTTCCTAAACACAAGGTACCCCTTAACGCTTGGTTTTTGAAAATCAGACGGGTATCCATTGTTCTCATTTTATCCACATAATTACTTTCCTTAACATATATCAAGGTGACATATTTTTGACCAATCGTACCTGAGTCTCAGAAATGGAGCTCCCTGTCGAAATTTGAGCCTTTAAATCCATGTGTGTCTAGAATTATCCGTGTTTGAAAGTTAAAAAGACGAGTCGTCTTTCTTGAAACCATACATAGAAGAAATATGTTTAAAAATAGGAAAAGAAATTCCTAGTTTAAGATATTTTTGAAGGAATTAAGCGATTTTCGTACATGTCTAGTACTTCTGAAGACTATTTACATATATGGACTACCTATCCCTTAAATGAAAAAGAATGATTGTACAATGACGCCAAAAATAGGTCAATTTTTGCTCCAAAGACACCTGGTTTTTGAACAATTTTTGTTATTGTATAGCTTGTTCATTCTCTTCTTTAAAAAATAATGAAATCTGGCAGTGAAGTATTCTGTCTCAACCATTAATCTAAAATAAAAATCTCATGTGAAATCAATGAGGAGAGCAGAACACCTCGATCTTCATATTTCATCCTGAACAACAAATGGAAATGAAGTGAATTGAGTTTAACGTCCTACATTTCTGCACCATGTGGGGTGGATGGATAACGTCATGCAGGCTGCAATGAGGGAAATTTTGCCAGGACAGCATCCCTGACGAGGGATCTTTAACTGCACATCCTGTAGCACATGGCCTCGGTTTATTGTCTCATCCGAACAACTAGACACTTTATCCATGTCAGCCCCTCTTACCTGCATCACTGACAGGGGGAAACCAGGTTGAAAAATCTGAAGGTATTGTCTCGTCCTTTGCTGGAATTGACAAGCATTCAACTCACTGAGCGGAAAAGTTGTGTATCTGACTGCTTAAATGAAAGCGACATCTAAATTTAGTTTTGTTAACAAGTCATTGCACTTGATGTTTAAATAAAATGGGAACACAGAACATTTTGTGTAAGAGCTGGTAATTTCAGCCATTAACACGACAAAATTACGCCTTTATTTGCCTTGTGGCACTCTACACACACAATCCTAACCACCTGACTCTCTAACTATTATCCTGTAGACAGGAAGTGAGGCCATCTTTAACAGGAAGCTAGATCAAGGTTGTCATGACGATAAGACATGCCAGGTGATTAATCATTGGTCGAAATCAATAGTAGTGTCGAAGGTCAATTAACACTAGGGTCAAATGATTGGACTTAATTCTCAGTTAGATTAATGTACCAAATTTGTTCGGCACGAAAACAAACACTTAAGGGGTAATATTGGACAAATATAGTCTGTCCAGGAGAAAAATTCAGATATATTTTAATGTGGAAAGTGGTTTTAGTTCGATTAGCTCCAGAAAACACTTACAGAGATTGTAAAGAAGTTTTCAAAATTTTTGAATGTGTATTGGGGACACTGATAGCATCAATTTGCGCCATTCTAATTTTCAATCAGGTGTCTTTGGTTCCTGCAATTCCACTTAAACTTGGTTTTTGATGACGTCACTAATCGCGAAGGGTGATAAAGCATATTTTGTTATTAGTGTCATCAAACACTTAGTTTTTAGTGGAATTGCAGGACCCACAGATGTCTCATGGTACAAATTGATGCAATTCGTGTCCCTGATATACACAAAAAATTTAAAAAAAAAACACTTTACAATCTCTGTAAGTACAAAAATGGAAAGTTCAGTGACCATTGAGAATTGGTAAGTCAAAATAGTCATTTAAGTTTCAACTACAGAGTTCAGAATCAGTATAAATGTACTTTGAAAGTTGAAAATAATCATTATTAATATTCTGAAATATAATATTGATTTAGTTCTAAAGAAAACTTCATACATTGTTCAAATTTTGTTGTTATTTAAATATCGATCTTCTTATTTCAATATTGAAGAAACTTTTATCATGTCATATTCAACAAAAAGAAGTTTTCAGTTTTATGAAGTTCTATAGCACTGTCAATTAGAGGGTTGATTCTTCACATGATCTCATTTGCTTGGTTACGACAAACAAATGGTGGCTTTGGGTTCCGATCTCGATCAGTGTGTGGAAGTCCTATGACTTTGTCTAAGTCATCTTTATTCATAATTCCAGTCGACCCAGCTATAAATGGGTGCCCATGCCAGATGGTGAAACTCTTGGCAAGACTCCAGTCGGCAACAAAAATCACTGACCAAGATCGTTAGTGTGCCTGTTCCTTTAGGGTGTAGGATCAAACTTCAGTAAAATATTAAGGAACAATACCTCTTAGAATGGACATAAAATTTAAAGTCTCAAACTTGGTCAACAAGTGTATATATTCATCTGTTAGACTTAACAGGTACCATGACTATAGGATATGACACCAGGTAAGTTCACTGATGAACAAACACTCATTTTAACCAAGTTTAAAAATTTCAATTTTTTGGTCATCCTAAGAGTTACTGCATCTTTAAACAAAGGCATAGAAGACAGTTATATCTTCCAATGCTATAATAGTTTCTGCTTATAAAGAATTAAAGTTAAGATGACATGTTTTTCTGACAGGTTCAGATTATATAGTTAATGACTTGCAAGCACTTTTTATAATCTCCTTGAACTTTTCAAGTTGGAATTGCACTTAACAGTAGGCGGACATCTTGAACAACAAATTGTCTTTGATCAAAAACCACTGCTGTTTATTGAACTGTTTTGTCAGACATGTCTTTGGAAGCCACAGTGGCTGGGTATAGGTCGAGATAATACCTTCGGATTTTTCAATTCGGTTTCCCCCTGTCAGTGATGCAAGTTAAGAGGGGCTGACATGGAAAAAGCATCTAGTTGTTCGAATGGGACAATAAACCGAGGCCCCGTGTTCTACAGGCTGTGCACGTTAAAGATCCCTCGACAGTTCGAAATCGAAAAAGAGGAGGCTAATGCTGGCAAATTTTCCCTCATTGACCCTGCATGGTGTTGCCTGTCTTCATTAGCCCACATGGTGCAGAAAAGTAGGACGTAAAACTCATTTTATATTCATTTCAGACATGGACATGTCTTTATATAATCTGGGGCCTTATTCTCAAAAAACCTCAACTTAAACGGACAGGTACGCCATTTTTTGAAGTCTTGAGAATATATGTAAATAGTCTTCAGAAGTACTAGACATATACGGAAAAGTCCTTCAAGAATATCTCAAACAATGAATTTCTTATCCTATTTTTATAAATGTCTTTTCTACATATGGCAGTGTCTCAAAAAAAGACAGTTGTCTTTTTAACTTTCAAATGCAGATGATTCTGGATTTTTATACTGGTGTACACCTTTTAAACTGGTCAACTGGATGTTTATATTTGGTTGGGACTGTATAGTTGCCATGGCAACATTTACCAATTGTCGCTGGAAAACATTGGTCACTATAGGAACATGTTAATAAAAATTTGCGCCAAATTTAGTATTGTTTATTTTAAGGATTGCAGATTTCATACTACAAAACAAAACATTTTCATTTGAACAGAATTGTTGGTGATGTCAATATTTTGGATTCTATTATTTTTTTTTCAATGAAACGCGACAAATGAATAGCCTATTTTTCTTGCTCCAAGATCTTATTTTCTGATTCCATATTACTTCTTACTATTATGGTGTCTGAATTTTGCCAACTTGTTGATTTTTTTTGTTAGGAATGGCTGCGCATTTATTTACAGTGACAGATTTTTCCAGATATATTGGAGGATGAAAAGGGATGAGTATTATACATGCTTGTGTATTATATTCGGGAATATATGTTATGATTTTTCATGATTTTTTTTTTTTTTTTTTTTCAGACGACCATTCTAGAGTAGTGTTGAATTCTGCTGCCAATGTTTCTAGTTCTGACTATATCAATGCCAACTTCATTGTAAGTTTAATTTATTTTATAAAACATGTCAAATTCATGCTTATGCACAATGTAAACCCTAAACTCAGGGTCAAAATAGAGCAGTTGTTCACAACCTATTTCAGCCTTCACACCCCTGAAGCAATCACTTGGGCCTTTAATTTGTTTCATCCATATTTCCAGCATGTGATGATGTGAGGTGGTCTCTCTATTCGAAATAACATTCTTCTCCTTCATCAGTTGGCCACTCCCCTGACACCTTAATCCCACACCCCCAGGGGGTGAAAACAACCCAGGTTGGGAACCAGGAAAATAGAGGCTGACAGACTTCGCTACAAAGGTGTCATATTCGCAAGCCTCCCTTCCAAGAAAATTATTTGAAAATAGAAATGTTTTTGGTGCATATTTTAGGGCAAAAATATAGTCGGGGTACAATTTGGGGGGAGGGGGCAAACCATTTTTCTCTGACAAATGCTGTGCTTAATCACACGCTATTTAATGCAATCTCTACCTTTTAAGGGACAGATGCGCCATTTTGGGGGTTGATTTGAGTCTTGAATATATGTAAATAGCCTTTAGAAGTACTAGAAATATACAAAAATCAAATTATTCCTATAAAATATCTCAAGTTAAGAATTTCTTTTCCTATTTCTATATATAGTAATGTCTCAAGAAAAGATGACTTGTCTGTTTAACTTTCAAACGTAGATAATTCTGGACACACATTGATTTGAAGGCTCAAATTTCTACGGTAAGCTGTGAACACTATCAATGATTGGCTTAGCTAAAAAAAAATCATCTTTATGAGACTTAGGTAGGAATCTTTGGTAAGAAAATGACTCACATGTCCCTTTAATATCACTTAAAGATTATTTTCAGAGTTAATTTTTCTTCTAATTAACATAGAAAAAAACACACGCGAATAGTATAAAAAAATTCATGTGGAAGTCATTTACTTGTTCAGCGGACATTTTCTTTTATTTTTGATTGACAAGCATACAACGTATTATTTAATCTTTGTGTCTAAATAGCCAATAAATTGTCGATAAATCAAAAATAATTCTGAAAAATATTGGCGGGAATTCTAGCAACAGACGTCACTTTCTCATGTAAAGTTATTGAAGCGACCTTTTTTAAGTGAATCACGAATCATGGGAGAATTCTATTTGAAAGTAATTTTTTCATGAACTGAAACATTCTGTAGTAAATCTTTCTCTCTTAATTTGATTGAAAATAAATCGTTGCCGTGGTAAACGGTGGTATCTTGGTCCAAACTCTTTTGCTGGCTGTTACTTAGGTGTAAGATTTGGATAAAAATACTGTTTTTTTTTTATATCATATCTTAAACAAAGCCCCTGGTTCAAAAATTTTTCAGTCTAATTAAAATTAGACCAAACTCTTGTTTGTTTATTTGGTTTTATTTTTAATATAACCATGTCAGTTAGGGTCTAACGACAGTCCTCTTGAATGATCGTCAAATTAACCTTTTGACCTCACCTGATAAATGGGTTACAAAATGCCACCACAGGAGAGGGTAGCAATTTGATTGGTTAAGGCAGATGTCATTGAGTTAGGTGAAAAGGTTAATTTGACGAACGTTCAAGGGGGCTGTTGTTAGACCCTAACTGAAGTGGCTATATTGAAAATAGATGCTAATGAAATAAAGGTAACGAAAGACACCACCGCAGAGTAGCCAAACTTTGAATTCAGCTTCATTGAGTCAGTCTGCCCCTTTGGAGCCGCCACTGCAATATTCCATAGTTCAAATTGATTTTCACAATGTTGAAAGAGTGACGTAAATATCTGTTGGGAATCGGACAATGCATGTCAGACATAGAATTTGATTTTAGAAATGAAGTTAGTAATCAGACGAGATAAATGAGTAATAACATGATGTAGAATGAAAAATTTGTCTTTTGGCAGAGGATACCCTGAAATTTGATCCCGATATCTATTAAGAAGTGAATGTTTTATATTTTAAACTAGCACACGATACATCCATCAATCTGCCTCGGAACATTTACAGCAAATAATTGAAAAATGTTGATGCTATAATAGTGAAGAGCTGAATATTTTACTGAGAGCTTTAGTATTCACACGAGCAAGATTTTCTTGGTAAAATGAATTGGCAAATTTGGCAGGGAAACACACAAAAATGAAAAGAAATGAATGGAGTTTTACGTCCTGCTTTTTTGCTCCATGTGGGCTAATGAAGACGGACAACGCCATGCAGTTTATAATAAGGGAAATTTTGCCAGCACTTGGGATTGCTCCAGGGGGTGTGAAGGCTGAAATAGGATGGGAACCACTGCTCTAAACACCTAAAAGCAATCTGCAATTGCAACTCAACAATCCATACGAAACGTCCACTTAGATACATTTTATTGGAAAATTTACATTGCATTCACTCTTGGAACAAAATAAACAAAAAGGTCTATATTTTGAGCTAATGTAGTTGAAATGGTTATAACATTGACAGGAAAATAAGGACAAATAGAAGTACAAAAGTATTCAGCATTTTACACTAGGCTTTAACCCAATTATGGTGAATTAGATTGACACAAAGTAGAAACATGAGTGGCAAATGTAAATTAAATACAATGCTTTGAAATTGTCAGGCCATAAAACGAAATTGATCTTTCTCTATACTAAAAATCCATATTCTTAATCAGCAAGTTTTTGTGTAATTATATGTTTTACAGTTTTATTACTTAAAGTATTGGTTTCATTGAAATATTAAAGTTATTCATTTAAAGTGGTCCATATTAAAGGGACAGATTCGCCATCCATTCGACCAATCGTACTTTAGTCTCAGAATCAGAATTTTTGATCTAAGCCAATCAGTATTAGTGTTCACAGCTCACCATCAAATTTGAGCTTCGAATTCATGTGTGTCCAGAATTATCTGTGTTTGAAATTTCAAATGACAAGTCGTCTTTTCTTGAGACACTACCATATATAGAACAGACATCTATAGAAATAGGAAAAGAAATTCTTGATTTGAGATATTTTTTGAAGGAATTATGTGATTTTCGTAGATTTTAACCTGTGTCTTCAGTTTACAAATTCACACTGTAATATTATTCCTATTATACGCCCACATTGAAATGTGGACATATATTGCTGTCGTTCTGGCCGTCTGTTCACATTTCTTGTAGGCGCGATAGAGGCTACAGTTTTATCTGATCTTGATGAAACTTAGTATCCATATATATTGATGAGATCTCGGTCAAGTTAGAAAATTGATAATAATCAGATGATGAACTGTTTCAGAGTAATTGCCCTAGTGTGTATAGCGATGAGACATTGTTTGAATTTGATGATAATTTGATGAACTGTTTCAGGTTTTTGCCTTGATTAATAGATGATTTTAAGATTATTTGAATATTCAGTATTAAGCCACTGAAGATTTTGTTATTATTTCCGACAGCTGGTAGTGAGCGTATGTTACCTTGCCTGGCAAGCTATCTTTTACCATTCAAAAGAAAGAACTCCAACAAATTTCAAAATGGCGACTAAATTCTATAATCATTTGTCTAGAAGTACTGCTTGAGCCAAAGAATTCATATGGTCCAGTAACCTTCGTCTCACGGAGGTCTCATTGTACTTCAATATTTGTGAATAACTAACGACCTAGATCTTATTTTTCAGACTGACCATGATCCAAGGAACCCAGCTTTCATTGTTGGTCAAGCTCCTCTACCACATACTGTTGCCGACTTCTGGCAGGTAAAAAAAATTATCTTTAAAGATAACTACAGACGTCAGAATGAAAATTGGAATGGTGCAAATTGATGCTATTAGTGTTCCCGATAGACATGCAAAATTTAGAAAACTTCCTTACAATCCCTTTAAGTTTTGTTTTACTCCTTATGAATATCAAGTAAAGGCAAATTTGCAAAATCAGATTCTCAATGAAACCTTGCTTATTTAAGAACATGTGGATCAATGTTGCAATTTACAAAATTTGTATGAATATACACAGAACAGAACTCTCAAAAATCCTGTCTTTCATCCTTGGTCAAACCCTTTGGAATAGGAGAAATCAGTTAAGCCGTGATATGCTAAAAATAGAACACATGCATGACCTAAGTAGGACAAACCACTCTTACAACTCTTAAAGTATTTTATCTTGTCCATTGGATATTTGTTATGGTTAGGTACGGATGGCCATATTTTTATTGCCAATTTTTGTAGAATCGCAGTGTGAATAGCCACAGCCTTTATTTTTTGTTTGATTTGTAACTACACTGTTAATTAACAGTCTATTTTTTGAATTTCAGATGGTTTGGGAACAAGGTAGTGTGGTGATTGTCATGTTAACCAAACTCACTGAAAACGGAACTGCTATGTGTCATCGTTACTGGCCAGAAGAAGGAAGCGATCTGTATCATATATATGAGGTAGGTGTTCTCAAACAATATGGCTTCTCTTAGCCCCTGGTTACAAGATTCGATGTTCCTTTTTTCAAAAAACCTTTTATACTGAGCTATTATATTGGTTGAATAGGTCGGAGACATCAAATTGTTATACGAGGTTTAAATTTTCAAAGAATGAAAATCAGGATAGCGGTAAAAAAAAAGAATAAAAAAGATTTTAACAAAATAGGCATGCATAAAGGTCTTTGCGTTTTTCTCGAAAAGTAATTTCGTGTCATATCTCGTTATACGAGGTTTCAAGCAGTCACCCACCATATATTCTGGTACACATGGTAATACTCTGTGCTTGTCAGTTTCACTTCCAGAGAGCCAAGATAGTTTCATTGTTTATTTCAGGTTCATCTGGTCTCGGAACATATCTGGTGTGATGACTATCTGGTACGCAGTTTCTACTTGAAGAATCTCCAAACAAATGAGACCCGAACTGTAACTCAGTTCCATTTCCTAACCTGGCCAAATCTTGGTGTTCCTGGCTCAATCAAGGCTTTACTGGACTTCAGAAGGTTTGTTGTAGACTTCTTTCTGTAACCTTCCATATGCATATTAGCATAGTTGTGTGCATAGTTGAGGTATATCTTTAATTGAAAGTAACAGTATCAATAGGCAGTAGGTAGAGAGAATTCTTTTTGCCCGCTTTTGTTGATTAAAATCACCCTCGATCCTGAAAGGGCACACGTACTAATTTTAAAGAATGTATGTCACTCAGCAAGATTTTTACGTTGATCATGTGATCGATATAAAAATGGCAGAGTCAGCCATTTTGAACACGATATCAACATGATATCTGATTGGTTCAATGTATCCCCCACTGAATAGATTACGACGAACACAGGCAAACAAACAAATTGGTGGAAATAATGGGCCGAAATTTTGGATTTTGGATGCTGGAAATTCGTACAAGTTTAAAGAATTGTAGACATGAGCGCGCTGAAGCGAAGTTTTGAGATATGTTAAAATCTGTGATCATGCAGGGAAGCAGGCCAGTTCCTCAGCATATGGTCTTCACATTGCTTACTCAATGAAAAAAAAATATATTAAAAGAAATTTCTGAAATTTCACAATGTAGTAAGAAAATGAACTTGAAAAATGTAAATTTTAATCTCTAACCCAAACGACCTTGACCTCCTAATTCTTTATCATTCAAATTTTAACGTGCCGTATTTAAATTTGTAGTGTATGATGGATGTACAGAAAACACGAGTAAGATTTTTTTGAGGGTTAATTTATTGGTTGGAGAAGGGTTTTTCATGGTTCCTTTTTGCATTTTGGTTATGGTAGCCATTTTGTAAAAAAGAAAAGAAAAAAAAAACAGCCTTATATAGTATCTGTTTAAGATACAGCTGCAGTAACATTATACTTTTTGAGCAATGCGTATATATTTGTGTGTGAAATTTACAAAACAAAAATTATCAAGAGTTGTATATTAATCAGATTGCTTAGTGTAAGGGAACCTCTTGCTTTACCTTTGGTTTTTGTTTTGGGAAAATGTGGTGGTGGTTTTTAGTAAAATGGTGATATTGTTGCAAAAACCACCTGATGGCATTGTGCTGATGGGCAGTTAGTGGTATTAGCAGATGTTTCTAGAACAACAGAACATCAGGAATATCATTAGTTCATAATACTCATTCCTTGTTTCCAGATTCCAAAGGCTTATTTTTCACTGCAGCTTTTTCATCTTCTGCTTGGTTTTGGGTTTTAACTTTCTAATATTATCAACTTTTTATTCTCATCTTGGCTTTGGGCTCTAACTTCATCTTCCCGGGCAGCT